TATTTACCCATTATCCACACAGACGAAATATAAACAAACACATTTCTGGCTCATGATTATGATCAAACTGAATTGCTTCAAAAATAAACATAATATGTAATAATATAGCTCCTCTCGCTCCGCTCGCACACAGACACACAAGCACACACACACACACACACACACACACACACACATACACACATACTTTAGTAGATATTACATTAATAGCAGGTACATAACTGCTAGAAATAAATCAGTGTAACTAACTAATTAGGAGAGAAAACACTGATTTCCGTAACACAGGTCATTGAACCTAGCTAGGAAGCCAGGTCCTTACAATGAAATGTAACGTTCCTGTTCAAATAAAGAAAGAATTATGAATGTTTTAGGCTGTCCGTCTAAATACATTACTTTTGTACGCATAAGTTTACATGACAAAAGGGTTTCAAACAAATTTTCCATTTACGCGGCTATGAAAAGTACAACAGTCGTTGAAGAAGGTTCATAAACTCAGTGTTCCAGATTTTGCAGTAATTTATAATTAGTCCAAAGTTTCGATTGTTTCCCTTTTATATCGAAAAAACGCCATTTTGAAACTAAAAGTATTGTTGCCAGTGATTCTTCGCAACTACAGGCTGTTCTCAGATATTAGCAGTAGCTGAAATAATTTCAATATTAGGCTTAAATCTACTAATCAAAACTAACCTCAGTGGCTTAGCGCCAACCTGAGAAGTTCACAAAATTATGAACTTTTCCAATTACATACGAGTTTTTATTTTATTTCTCAAATATTGGTAGAGAACAGAGAATTCCATAGTATTGTGGCACATTTATTTAGAATCCTAACCTACTTGTCGTCCAAAATGCATGAAAAATAATAAAATATCGCACTTGTTGAGTATTGTTTTTCTAATAGTTGACCCATAAGATTTTTTAACAAATACATCTGTCAGGTCTGGATTTAAAACGTTACTTTCATCTAAGTTTCATATACAAAAGTTAGTTAAGGCGACGTATTTCAACGCTAGCCTATTATAGATTGTAGGAGGTGAGGTGTGGGGGACCAGAGAGAAAGAGAAATATCTCCATATAAAAATTATGTGCAAAGTTAGATATTGTATTTTTAAACAATTCGTTTTAGACTTCTATTTTAACCTAACCTAACAAATAAACTCGTTAAAAAAACTCTATCAAAAAGTGCGATATTCTATTCTTTTTCATGCATTTTCGACGACGTATAGGCGCTTATTCCCTATCATCACCACTGGCTTAGGTTATTCCCAGTTGTTACCACTGGCTTCGTTCCCACTGGCGACAAATGCGAAAAAAATCCCATATGTTACCAGGTGGTGACAAACGGGATAAAAAATCCCAGTTGTTGCTAGTGATGATTTCTACCGGAGTCAAAGGGGAAGAAAACCCTAAGACAGACAAGAACTGAGATTGTTTTATACCGTTTGGCACCACCTGGTAATGCATGGGTTTTGTTCCCATTTGTCGCCATTGAAAATCATCACTGGCAACAACTGAGATTTTTTTTTCGTTTGTCACCACCTGGTAACACGGGTTTTTTTCCCAATTGTCCCAGTTGGAACAAGGATAGTGGTGACGACTGGGTATAAGCGCTTATAAGCTAGGATTCTAAATAAATACTATGGAATACACTTTGGATCAAACAAAAAATCTAACTAGAATTTATATTACAACAGAACACAAAATTATGACTAGAAAAATGTAAGTTAAATTTTTTTCGTTAAAAAAGCGACGACGACGATTGTCGGGCATAACTCAAACAAAAGTTATAAAGGTGTGTTCAGATTATTATAGCAATCAAAGGTCTAACACAGTCGTACTACAAAATTTAAGCAAAGGTTCTGGTAATAATTTCTGATTATTGACCTACATATTGTCACGGTCATGTAATTAGACATATCCGATATCCATCAATTATTGTCTGATATTTGGCGGCGGCGAACGCCTGGATAAATAAATAAACTAAAAAAAAATTATATACCAGTGTAAATTTTGTGCATAATGGATGTGACTGTTGAAAGTTTTTGTACAAATTAAAAATATAGTGAAGGCGTGATTTTTCAAATTATCACAATTATTTTTCGAGGGTCAATAGCATTTTATTGATTACTTCCGGCGCCAAGGAATTTCAAAATTTACAATTCTAAAAATAGATAATTACAAGTGAGTCTGCCCACAATTAAGGTGACGTTTTGCTTATGTTATAAGTTATAGCTATTAGCCACCCAGTTCCAACTCACTTCTCCAGTTGACTGGTAGAGAATGCCTAATGGCATTAAGGCATTAAGTATGCAATTAAATTTAAATAAATAAATATAACAGTGACGAAAATTAAAACTTATTATCATACTTATATATTTCTATATTTATTTATAAGACCCTACGCCAGCGATCTTATATTCATTGCCCTATTCAGAAACTATCACTTGTCAATATCATAAAATTAAGACTAATGTCAACCACTGAAGACTCAAATTCCAATGGAGTGATTTCATAGATTTACATGCTAGATATAAATCACCATATTCAGGGATTTGAAAGAAGATATTTATTTATTTATCCATTTGCATTGGTAGACACATATACGCTTGAAATGTTATATGCACCCAGTAATATGATAATTCTATGCGCTGAAATACATATACAATCATTTGTTTTTTTCGAATTTCTTTATAAAACTACTACTAAATCGTTATGAAAACATTTCAACGTGACTGGGTACTTCTAATGTTGCTTTTTCCTAATTTCGGTGGCAATTTTTATTATTTAATTTTACTCAATTTTTATTATTTAAATATACTCAAATATTATCATTAAGTATTAATTAATATTTGAGTGTAGTAACTAGAAATATTATTTAATATTTCACGATAATATACCGATTACTAAAACAATAAAAATTTGGTAGTAGCCACCGAAATTAGGTAGAGATTACTCTTCTCTCGAAATAACTGCGACGTGACATGAAATCATTATATGTCACCTTAATATAAAATGATGAATAATTAAAATATCAATCAATGAATTGTGCATTGCGTCCATGTCAGAAGGGTGACATATAAAATATTGAATTGCACAACCGAGGATCGCATTACACATTGTCATTTGAACGAATAGCTCGTGATCACTTCTGTTTTTACTGTCGATCATCAATTTTCAATTTCAACAAGTGATTTTAGGAAACAAAGGTAATGAAAATAATTAATTATAATATTTAAGTATTCTAGTGCTGCTGATAAATCGGTGAAAGAATATGAACAATTTTTTTTTCAATTATAAGATTCCTTAATTAAATAAGTTTGTTTTGAAAGGAGGCTTTAAAATCTAGTGAATTTTGATGTGACTAAAAGACTTCAATTTAACTCAGTCAACAACCAATGTAAGTGCATAAGAATATATATAGAAAATGGAAGGGCCTCATGTTTTGGTGAAATGCTTTTTATTCTGTGTTAAAAACCATTCGAGTTGCATTTTTTACGCTGACACATTGTTTACTCTCGTTATTATCATGAACGCAATCATCATATCGAGTTCTTAAGTTCTTGCATTGAAAATGAAACTATTTTCAGATGTAAATCGCGTATAAAAGCCGTGGTAGCCTTATTGGTTTGACCTACCGCTTCTTAAGCAGAGGCCGTGGATTCCAATCCGTTGTCACACCTCTGAGTTTTTCGAAATTTATGTGCGTTATTTAATTTGAAATTTACCATGAGATATTCGGTGAAGAAAAGCATAGTGATAAAACCTGCACGTCGAAAATGGTTCTTAATACTCGGAAAACGTGGGAAATTCTCCACCCGCATTGCCAGCGCGGCGAACTATCGCCTAAACCCTCGCCAGAGAGGAACACCCGTGCCCAATGGTGGACGTATATATATAATTGACGACGAAATCGCATATATTTGTTTTTTCAAACAAATTAATATTATACATATCGCACTTTTACTATAATAGTGTATTAACTCAAAAAGTGTATTTTCTCAGAATCGACAAAAAACGAATTGCTCGCTTTCGCGTGAAAGGTCTGTGTAAATTTATGTATAAGTTATTTCCTACTTGCCAAATATACATATTTAAAAATAAAAGAGAAAAAATAGTCTTACATTTTTGAATAAGGACAATTTTGGCTTGCGCTAGCTCACATAAAGCGTGTTTTATTTTGAGTTATGTACTTAAGAAGATATATTTCAGTTGTTTTCTACAGTATTCTAACAACGGTTTTATTGACGTGTAGAGAATCAAATTTTACGTTCAACAATGGGATAATCTCGAATTTCACATATTTTGAGTTATAACACTATTGTAATAGCAGTGCGATATATAACTGGTTGATGTCTTTACCATCTCAGTCAGCCGTGAACATGGGACCTGAACCCGAAACTTTGAATTGTTTGTAAAAACAAATAATACGAGATTTAGAAAAATATAATTTCATTTCCTATGTGTAACAATCGCAAAAATCCAACAAGTCAATATTATTAACCGACTTTAAAAAAGAAGGAGGATCGCAATTCGAACTGTATTTTTTTGTACGTTTGTTGTGAACCGATATTAATGATTCTTTTTTACTGGAAAGAGGGTACCTCAGTATTGGTTCCATTTAAATTTGAAGAAAACATTCCACCTCTAAGGGTGGCAAACTAGGGGATAAATCCGGGTTCGCCCACTTTCCGGTAACAGATTTCAATAAAACTTGGCAAATAGATTTAATTCCACGAAGTTTTGAGGTCGATTTTTTAGTAGTGAAATTATTTCAAATACAGCGACGGCTAACCACCGGACTTGTAAAGAGTCTGAAACGTTAGTTTGTTTAAAAAAACCAAATGTACGCTGTTAAAATAAATAAAAAAATAATTTATGCAATCAGGTCAAATCGTCTCAACCCTAGAAAGTGACGTACATGACATGGCCTACGATCTATTCAATTACAATTCTAGTCTTCTTTTGCAGAATAATGGCGACTACAGTCACAGACATACACGGCCATGATGCGACTATAAGCCGGCTGGTTTTCTACCCTCTAATCATCCTAGCTTCGACGTTATGGCTCTTCCATCGATATCAGAAGAAATCCCGGCTCTATATGCTGGGGAACAAACTCCCTGGGCCGATAGCTCTACCACTTTTTGGAAATGCTCTACTTGCTATAGGGAAAAGGCCTGATCGTAAGTTTTACAGACTATTATAACGTTTTTATGTCGATACCTCAAACAACAAACACTACTGAATACTACGCCATTTACTAATATTATGCACCCCAAATTTTATGGAAAAAAGAATAAAGAAACAAAAAACATAATTCGAAAAAAGACCAAAAAACTAATTTTAATAAGTAATAATAAACAAAATAAAAACAGAACAGGATCAAAAATGAAGTTGGAGTAGTGTGCATTCGAGGTATCGACGTAACCACATCCACAATACACAGTAAATATATTCTTTGCGTGGTTGTATATATCTAACAATTCATTTTGCCAATGCCGCATACGTCGGTAATGGACATTGTAGTGAAAATGAAAAATACAAAGTTATTGGGCATTTCATTACACTTCACATGTGAAAATTAAATTGCACTAAAACAAAACTGAAAAGAGGATAAATTTCTTAAAATTAAAAAAATGTAAAAAGAACAAAACAATTAAGCAATTTGACATAATTGTAACATTTTAAGAATGTTTGGAACTGATTGTTACCAAATTAAACTAAATTATATTTTCGTATTTAGATGTAATTGATAGGCATTTGTGTTGCATCGTTACAACAAAATGGAATTGAACTCTAATACACAATAGCTTCAACGTCAAGATAATAAAACTCAAAATATATCAGCACCAGATAGCGTGCATGTAGAAAATACTCTCTTATGATGATAATTTTGGTTACTTCATATATAAAACGGTTTTATGGTTGCCATCAAGCAGTATATTGTCTTTTAAAGGGTAAGGGTGCTGGTGAAATTACAGGCACATGGGACTTAACTTTTGTCTCAGGGCATCGAGTATATAACCAGAAATAGAGACGAAATGTCATTTAATTTGTTTGAAAATTATTCTGCCGCATCATTACTGTGACAACTGCGCTCCGATTGGCTAGCCCGAGTTCGAAACAATTGACGGGTGTCGTCAACTGTTTCACTTCAAATCGACCAGTTAACTTGAGCTTTGCTATAATGGATGAAAATTGCAAAATTACATATTTAATATTTAATTAGTGATGAAATTTGATTCCGTTTGTTTTGTAATTAGATGTTTTGCTGTTTTTCCCCACATTAGGTCTGTTGTTGGCGTTGTCTATATTTCAGTGCAAATGAGAGTTGATATTTATAAGTGATGTATCACTGATGGGTTACCAGGAGTTTATGGCCATTATTTCGTCTCTATTTCTGGTTATGAACTCGATGTCTCAGGGTAACGAGCGCAGGGGCAGTACCCCTCAGATCTTTGCTATTTAAAGTTCTAAGTGATATTGCAACTGTTATGGACAGGGCGTGTAGCTTAACACCAAACTATATAGGTCAAGAAAATTTTACGTAAAAATTATTCTGTTATAATTATTAATACAAAGATCGAACAATTAGAAACAATCCTTCCGTGGTAGACACTATGCCACGGAACGAACCAGCGGACCTCACGAATTTTTCTGTGCTTGTTGACGGATGCCTGTATTTGGTTTTGCAACGACTTTTTAGCCGTAGTGCCATCTATGAGAAATCTATGAAAATATTTCGTCAAAATTATTCTTTCATATATAAAATTAGAATTTTTATGATGTTTTATTACCATGATATTTTATTATTTCTGTGAAATTATAGCTTGTGTCCAGCAGCTCTTGCGATTTTTTGTAAGAGTTTGTTATAGATATTTGTTTTTGGCTATTAACAAATTTTTTGCCATGGAATAGGCGAGAGTCCAAAGTCAAAGTCAAAGTCAAAGATTATTTATTCCATAGGTAAAA